TTTAATAACTTGGTTACACTTTATTTTAAGCCTAAGGGTGTCATATTTACATTGGACTAACTCTAGCTAGTAATGAGTAAAATATATTACATGTATTTTTTAGTATAGAGTTATGGTTGTTACTTGTAATTATGCATAATTTACTGTTATTACTTTAGTAAGTACGTTATAGCATGCAACTAGTGTCACCTTAAAATAAAGCGCTACCAACAATTCTGATATCGGTGAAATTTAACCATATTTATTATTTTACAAAGTAAAGCAATAAGACTATGTAATTATAGTGTTTTTATTTTTCATAAAAAAATAATCCTTTGACCTTGAACAGACTTACAGCTCCAATCAATGTCCACAAAAAGCTATATAACATTTGTGCCTCTTCTATTCAGCTGTTTTAGTATTGCTTTTTTGATTGATATACACATGTGCCTGGGCCTTAGAATAAACTTAAAAACAAACAAAATCATAAAATAAAGTCCATGTAACAGCACAGTGTTTACAGTTCCCACCTCAAACGGGACATCTCTGCAGAAATTAAACTCATATCCAAGACAAATAAACATCGTTTTTAAGAAAATCACTGTTGGCCTTCCTCAAAAGCCACGAAAACAAGATCCAGGGCATTTTCGCCATTAATCGTCCGTTATGAATGCATCAGAGACTGAAGTCATGTGTTTGCAGTCACGAGTGAAAACCTCCTACAGAAGAACAGTAAATGCTACACTTCAGCAGATCTCAGATCAGATTAAAACATTTAAATACTTTCCAACACTATTCATCGGTCATTTCACCCGTGTGTTGTTCAGTCGTGGAGATACCGCCTCAGGCTTCACACCGTCGTCTGTTTCCCACCCCTCCTCCTCTTCCTCCTGTTCTTCCTCATCAGTGGAGAACAGCTCATCTTCGAAGAAGGATCCGCCCAGCCCATACTCCTGTGTGTGAACTGACACCTCATTGGACAGCAGATGTGGAGAGCCTTCGATGAAGTCTGCAAACCTGAGTGCAAGGGAGTTTATTTTAGATAACTTTTTTTAGTCTTAAGCATGATTCTTCAATATTTTGAAGTCAATCATTACCGTTTCAAACCCTTGTAGCAAATACTCTGTAAATACCAGCATTTATTGGCATGGACGATACAAAAGCTTGATTTTGGCGGACGAGATCGGCTATGGAAATGGTAGCAGATTTGTATAGGTGGTTCTATGGAGGAGGATGGATATACAGAAGTTTCATAATTGTGCAGCAGGGCGATCGCAGACTACGAGATATATGGTTACGTGGATTAGGAAGTACTTCTGACTGGTTGATGCCACAGCGTAGCAAGAACCAATCAGCACAGATTCTTGACTGAACTATGTAGATGTATAATAGGATTTTGGAGACCTAAAAGCAATGGGGGGAAAAATGTAAGATGGGAGGGAAAACTCAAATTTCCAAGAAAAATGTTGTGTTCTCCCTAAAATCTTTCCCTCACAAAACTTAAAAATAATATGAAATAATATGAAGTGAGAGAAACACTGTAACTATATTTCAGTGTTTTTACGAGCGAACACTATGTTCCTTGGGTGAATGCAAACATTTGTGTGAAACGCAAAACATTGAAATATATTTTTTTCTCCAATCTTACTATATAACATACACTATGTAAATTGCTGTTATTGAGTGAGTGCAAAAAATTCACTTTACCAAAATACAGTTACTATAATAATGATTTACATTATAGAGTTATTTAGAGCAAATCTCAGAAGAATCACCGGTTGTTAAAACAATTTTAACTTTTTTTATTTGGTCTTCTGCTCTGATATGTCCTCTTATCCAAGTGTACACCACTGCAAAAGAGTAAAGCTGAAGCACAAACTAACCAATGCTCTTTCACAAGATGCGTGCATCTTTTTAACCACTAGAGGGCCAAAAACTTACATAGTGTATCTTTAACACTGCTTCTAAAATATTTTCTCATACCGCTTAGGAGATTGGATCCTAGAGACCGTCTTCCAGGTGTTGAAATCAGGACTGCTGCAGTATTTCCTAAGTTCCTCCAGAGCTTTCTGAGTCTCCACCTCCGACTGTCTCTGATACTCCTCTTCTGTCAGCAGACGCCGTGGCTCGAGTTTCTTAGGCTTCAGCTTCCTTCAGAGCATTCATTCAGCAAGAAGACAATAACTACATTGCTCAAAATGTATTTGAACAACTTTTATGAAAGTTATATGCTCACTGATAAAGAATGAAGGCCTTGGTAAAAGGGTACTCCAGGTTCTTTGAGCAGAACGCAGCTATGATGATGGCCAGAGCCACTTGCTGGACCTGAGTCCCAGCGTACACTAGCAGAAGGCCGAATATCTGCAGCGTCCAGGACAGGATGTTGACACTTCGCTCCTCCACCAGAGGCCCATAGCGGTAACAGACTGCAAAACTGATGAAGCCGACAACAATGACATAACCTAAATATATATAAAGCAAAGAACAGTCAGTAGCATGAAAATATATTAATCAAATATTTGCAAATATATAGTTTGTTTCATAATATTTCAATCAAATAATAATTAAAAAAAATATTATTTATTTAATGAAAAATAAACAGTAGCTCACTTTTCATAATCCAGTCATATAAGTCTTATCTACAGCCATTATTTCTCACTGAATATATCATATTACAAAAATTAAATGTGTTCCATCTTGGACTTTTTGCACATTAACAAGTTTTCATGGGGCTCTCTTACCGATAGCCAGATGCCAGTGATCTTTAAGAATTATTTGGAGATTCCTAAACACCAGCTGGATGATGTAGAGAGAAAAGGACCAGCCGCCCATCACCAGCACATAAAATGGGCTTTTCTACAGGCCAAGGAAACAAACATGTTGAAACTAAGGTAATAAGATCATAAGGGATAGTTCTGTCGTCATTTAACCTCAAGTTGTTCCAAACCAGTACGAATTTCTTTCTTGTTAAACACAAAAGATTATATTTCAAAGAAATCAAGTAACTAAACAGTAGATTTTTTCCATAATATGGAAGTCATGGGACGCATCAAATGCTTGGTTACCCATTTTCTCCAGCAGAAGAAATAAATTAATTTAGGAATAATAAATTTAAATAAAATTATATTAATTATTATTATTATATAATTAATATTAATTTTATTTTTAATAAAATTAATTTTATTTTCCCCTTTTCCTTTAATAAGATTACACATAAAGCCAACCAAGGTGTTTGATCGTAAGAAAAGGATGTTTAGTACTGATTAGAGAATGTGAGGAATCCAACCTTGGGTAAAAAACGGCTGATGATGAAGATGACGATGATAAGGGAAGCGATCATGCCGGTGCTCATGCCAGCAGAGTAGTAGAACACTTGACTCCTAAAAGACGGATGAAACGGGTGTGAGCAGAGGCTTATAAAACACAATAACCTAAATTGTGCCTCCATCCAGGAAAAGAACTGGCTAAAGAGAATATTTTAATTTTGGATTATATTAAATGTCAGTTACCTGCTTAGAATGTCTGCAAAAAAGAACAGCAACACTCCAGCCAGAAAAACCAAAAACAGGTAGATGTCAAAGTCTACAGGAGGAAAAACAATATTTCCACATCAATAACACAACCCTGATTAAACGAGAGCATGATTTCATTTAAGCAATAAAATCTGCAGGACCAACAGGAATAAGTTTCCCTATCCATGTGAACTTTTGCCTCTCTAATATATTAATGCAAGTCCTTTTCAACTCACGTCGGCTAGGTTGTACTGTATAGAATGTATGGGAGTCTGAAGGGTCCACTCTGAAACAGGTCTTGTTGTTAAAGAGACTGATGCTGATGGTGGTCTCATTGGTCTGTTCGCGAACAAAATACTGCACAAGTTTCCAGATGCTGAAATGCTCAAGCTCCTGCAGATCCTGCTCATCATTAACCACCGTCACTTTCAGCTTTGAAGTGCTCCACACTCTCACCTGTCAATCAAATAACGGGCAGGGGCTCTCAATTTTGATGCAAACATCACTTATCACATTGACAAGTAATAGTTAAAAGTATTTTACCTGTATTCTAGTCCATGTTTCCCTCCATCCAGGTATGATGGAGTTATAGTAGCAAAAATGCTGTGGAGCTTGTTGCTTTTTGATTTCTTGTCCATCTTTAATTTCTATGATGGGACGGGTGGCACCTGAATGAAAATGACAGATGAATAACTTTTGTGAATCATATGTCTTTTTGAATCATATTTTACATACACATATTTTAAATTACGAAATTATGAAATAAGAACATTCTATTTATAAAGAATAACACGTTTTGTTCAAATTTACCGTCACGGTAACTTCACATCTGGTTATGACAAAAAATTATAAAAAAAAAAAAAAGACAACAAACTACATTATCGCATAAAGTATAAAGTTACTTTAAACTTTTAAAAAATCTGTTTCCACAGCTAATTACATCAACAAATAACTATACCTAGTAACGTTACGCTAACACGTATAGCTTTCTTAATGGTTCTAAATAATTTACAAACCATATGCATCAAGATATAGTATATCAAAGCTTGTCTAACTATTTCTTACCTAAAGTTTGATAAAAATTAAATGAAAATAGTACAGTAGTCAAGATAACTTTCAATCGGACTGTTTTGGTTCTAAAGCCACTTTCGGATTTCATTAATCCCGCCATGATGTCTTCTCGCGTTTCTTCGATGGTTGGAGTGACGTTACCAACGAGACTTGATTGGTGAACAGCGTCATCTGCTGCACTGGAGTGACCTCGCGCTTCATCACACATGAGTGAAAGTTACCAGAGAGACAGTTACTCAATTATTTCTATCAACTGTAAAAGTTAAAAATGTTTTTATTTTTTTTACATGCAAGTGTTTTTTGTGTGAAAGTGTTAAATAAATCGACAAAAATGTGCCAGCGATTGTTTTGTTTACATTTTAATCACATTTTGCTATTAATTTTAAGCAGGTTTTTCAAAGACACTCACTCAGCTCACACTCACACTGTTCCTTTAAATAGTCTAAACCAGTTTCCCCTGTTAATTTGAAGTCTATACAGTGAGTTGCAAATAAAATAATCAGGTGATCCAAGCACATATGCATGAAATAATTAAAAATTCAGACAAAATGTTAGTTGCCTACTTGTTCTATAAACAAGAATCACTTTGATACACGAATACATTAATTCAATCATAGCAAAATATACACAAATAAAACATGAGTATACAAAGACAAGTCTTCCTTACAGCTGTAGATCTCAATTGCAATGTGAACATAACTTTATCACAAATCCAAAGAGAAGACATACATAATATTAACAGCATGAGAGGTTGAGATGCATGTCCAGGGCAGATGTCAGGTAAAAAAAATTAATCAGCATCTGGATGTGCAGCATTAACTGCTCCATATGAGAAGATTTTGGGTCCTGACAGTAAATGCTGGCCACGGATTCTCTCAACTCCAGGCTCCTCCCGAATGGAAATCTGGAACAATTGTGGCAGCAGCAGAAAGAGGGGTGGAGTATCCCACAGTGAAGTTCTGCAGACCCAACATCAGACATTTCCAACTGTAGCGAAGAGCCTTCCCCACGTTCTGTAAGACAAACATAATGTTGAAAAAACACTCATTTAGAATTTGTAACTAAGTCAACTAACCATTATAATGATATTTAATATATTCATATTATATAATAATTCATATACAATTTTATAATAATAATAATATTATAATTATGTGTGTGTGTGTTTATTGTATGAACAATACATTACATAAACAAGGGAATTAATACTAAATATTACTAATTATTGCATGACAAAAAGCAACACCTAAGGTAAAAAAATACCCTAAATTTATATAAAAAGATCTGGTTCCCTTTTATTACTTTTTTTTTTTTTCAGAACTGTGATGATTACTTTTTTTATTTTCCAATTTAAATTTGTGTATTTATTTTATGTGATTTACAGTTTATTTTTGGATAAATAATTGACTTAATTAAAATGAATAAAAACAATTTTAAACATTAAAAATGACAAAGGATTTTATTTTGTGAATTTCTAAATAAAAATATTACCAAAGCGCTCACAATGCTTTGGTCTTTTTGTAAATCTAATAAACAAATTAAAAAAAAAAAACATTTTAACAATTGGATTAAAACGCAATCCAATTCCTTTGAAAGTAACTATTTTCATTCACAGATCCAGGAGATTTAGCCTGTGCCAGCAGCAGCAATATTATAGAATTAAGACTTTGAGTGGTTTAAATACTGGAAGTAGACAGTTTAGCTGGATTAAACATAGTCTTTATCATTTTAAACTGCATGTAGCTTAGAGTCTTTACATTAGTGACTGTGACAACAGGCCAGAAACAGGATGCACTGCTTTATCCTGTGGGAGGAAACATTTGCTGCATGAGAATGGATCACTGCATGTGATCTGAATGACTCCTTCCTCCCAAAATAACAAATGTCTGACTATGTACTGGCCCCCCATAGTTGTTTTTCAAATCATCCATAAGGGCAAAAACAAATGCTGAGTGAATGCAATGTAGGCTAATGGTAAAACATAATGGAAGTAAATTGTGTCTCATCCTTTGCTCCATTTTTAAAGAAATCTTTCATTCATGTGCTTTATGTTTTGCAAATTTAAACATTTGGTGTTCTGTAATGTTTTGCGTTTTGGCCATAATGTTGCAATAGAAAAGTAAAATCTATCCTATTTGTGGTTGCGCCCATGTAGTGAAAATGGCAGGGCCCGTATAAACCTGAAACACTGGCGCAACTGGACGAGCAACAGAAAATACTTATTGTTGAGCCCTGTATTTCACTTTATGTTGTTGAAAAAGTTGGCCATTAGCACCAAGGTGCTTTGAAGAAGAAGAAAAAACAGGCATGATAGGCTATATTTTAAGTGGATTACAGTGAGATGCCATGTTTGCTAAAGATACTCCATTTACTCAGTCTCAGCAGTTTAAATTGGCTAAGTCTGATAAGGAAACAGTCTAAGATGCCAAACAGGTCACCTGTTTTGATCTTTGATCTTGATCACTTGATCTTTGACCTAGTCTAACACAGGGTCAGCAAATTCATTATAAGTCATGTGCTTGTTTAAAAAAATATAATAATTTTTGTGGTTATAATATTCAAACCATTAACTGAAGTGAGAATCTCTGCAGAATTTCATAATGAAAATTCCCTATATGGAAAACAGTTTATTTTCTTTTTTCTTTCTTTTTTTTTTTTTTTTTTTTTTTTTTTTACGATTACTGAATAACACATGACAACTTTTCTGTTGAATAATGTCACTTCTTTCACTCATGACCAAGGCACTGGTCATTTGGAAACTCCAAAAACCAGACTTAAAATCAGGATAACACAGGGACAACAAACCATTGTTAACAATTTCATCCCTGATAAAAAGTAATTAAATAAATATATAATACATAAATAATAAGAAAATTAACATTAACAACTGCAAATAAAATAAAATACAATACGTTAACAACATTTTCTACTTTGACAGTACTATTGGAATATTGTCTGTATCCCAATAGTAACAATATATATTAATGAAAAAGGTTAGTAGTAGTAGGAGTAAGTTAGTTAGTAGTGAAAATAAAGACTAGTCATTGCTAGATTTCTTAGTATTTCTTAGTATAATCTAAAATAACAAGCTACTCAAAATTCAAATTCAAATAAATGCAGTTCTTTTAAAAATGCTAATCTAATCATCAAAGATGCCTTTAACAAAATGCATAAGTGGCCACAAAAATATTCAGCACCACTGCCACCACAACAACACTGGTGACATGCACATTCTTTCAAAAACAAACCAAAAGTAACGGCTTTTGAACAGTGTGCATTAAAACGCCCTTTTTTATGTTACCAATACCATGTGAAAATAATCATCCTACCTTTTTGTATTTTTTATACTTTTCTTTCTTTTTCGTTTTCTTTTCCTCCTTTAGTCTGAGTTGGCTGTCATCTTCCACTAAGTGCTGATATGGAGATCTCTCCGGCTGCAGTAAAGTGAAGCGCGGATCTTTGGGACTCTCTGCCGGCTGATCGAGGCTCTGCTCCGGTGAGCCGCTGTCGACCTGCCGCCTGTATCTGACATCAGTGTCCTCAAAGAGTCCAAGTCGAGGCACACAGAGAGACTTTGGCTTCATGGTATTCACAGGAGCGTGGTGTTGGTGTACTCTGATAAAGCTCTCAGGACTACTACGCACATCCTCCAGAGCAGCTCTGTGTGTGTTTGGCTGGACTCCAGCTCTGATTGAGTCCATCACATCAGGGGGGAAAGTCTAACAGACTGAGACTGGAGTACAAACTCTTGTTGATTGTCCGACTCTGGGATCAATTAAGTATAATCAAATCAAATTAAATTTCCATTCTGTTGAATTCGCTAATTCACTGGCCTACACTACAAAATAATTAGTTGTGGAATGTAAATCACTCTAGTATGTTATTGTTTGATTTTAGACAATGTTGACACTTTGCAGGTACAAAATAGGCCTGAAACTTTTTCAAAAAGTTAGCAAAAAGATATAATGATATCATAAACGTAGGCCTATTTCCTATAAATGTCCCCAAGAAATAAAGCCTATTTGATTGATCTCTTGTACTTAACATGTTATTTGTTTTATTTTATTAAATACAATTTGTATTAAATGTATTTAAAAAAAATAATAATGGTACAAATTAGTTGAATGTGTCTGGATTTATTTATTTTTATTAACTTTCATTTTTTAATTCATATATATGTATGTATTACATCGTTTTTGTAAACATTTTATTGGAAAACGCTATCATATGAAAGAGGAGACCAACAGTAGACTAATTAAACCATTTTTCTCTAAACCAGAACCCGCCCCTTTTGACCACGTGATCATTGACTGACAGGAGTGAAATCACAGAAGCGAAAGTAGAATAAGCGGACATTTGGACATTGGCAGCTTGTTCGTAAGTACTCATAAGTTTCTTAAAAATACGTCAATTTAATTAGACTTTAACGTTTAAAAGGTAGCTTATAGGCTATTTAAATTTTACAATCGATGATTGTTGCCAGCCATGATGAGCCATCTAATAGCCTTGTCTACTTTCATCTTTAATTTCTGGCGTTTTTATAATTAGATGACTTTGTTTAGTAGGCTAATAGTGAAATGTTACATTTATCTCTCTTAAAGCCCGTCTTTTACTCAGTCCAGACTCCAGACAGCATACCATAAGCATCACTATCGAGTAGGCTAGTAGTCAGTAGTCTCAGCAATAATAATAATAAACTTGCTCAAAATGCACGATATTAGAAGGCAGAAGTTCTTTAAATATACTCATAAGGAGTGACTGAAAAAAATAAAAATAAAAAAAAACTTTGCCATGGTGTCAGTCAAAAAAAATATGTGTTTACTGGTGTAGTCATTATGTTTTAACTTAAATTACACAGTGGCATATTTCTTAACAAAACTCACACATACAAAGAAATAGATCAAGCTAAAGAAATTTGAGGGTTTGAGACCAACAGGACGTAACACCCTACTTTTTGTCTTTTAATGTCACTTTAGTTCAAAAGGGGAGTATGATGCAACAATGCTTTTTTTAAGCATGGGTGATGATTTTTGCATGTGATGTCCTTAAAATCACATGGCATTAAGTGTACATGCATTTACACTTAACAAAATTATAAACGCAGCACTTTTGTTTTCCCCCCCATTTTTCATGAGCTGAACTTAAAGATCTAAGACATTTTATTTTCATACACAAAAGGCCTATTTCTATCAAATATTGTTTACAAATCTGTCTAAATCAGTGAGCACTTCTCCTTTCCCGAGATAATCCATCCACCTCACAGGTGTGGCATTTCAGAAGCTGATTAGACAGCATGATTATTGCACAGGTGTGCAGGCTGGCCACAATAATAGGCCACTCAAAAATGTGCAGGTCTTAGATCTTTGAGTTTAGCTCATGAAAAATGGGGGCAAAAACAAAAGTGTTGCGTTTATAATTTAGTTCAGTGTGTATATATATATATATATATATATATATATTATATATACAGCATATATGCTCAGTATACAAGCTCATGTTTTTCAAAATGTGCTTAAAAGAATTAATAATACAATCTCAGCACTTATCACCCAACCTTAAGGCTACTGTAGTGTGACATGATGTTACTTGTAAAAGGGTGTATACAATTTAGCTTTTTAAAATTGTATACACCCTTTTTACACCAGGGCCACTTTTTTTTCAAACAAAACCCCACATGAATGTACGAAACTGGTTTCTCCAAATATCCTTATAGTGGTTCCTCATTTTGTAAATTGCAACATAAATGTTCACATTACACCATTTCTAGATAGTCTAAATTAAACTTATTTGATACTTAGATTTAATCATAATTTCTTAATATATGTTCAGATGGGTTATTTAAATAAGTGGTTGCGATACATAATGTACTTGCAACATTCTGTTTTTTTTTCCTTATCTTTTTCCTTCCTCACTTTTGTTCATAACATTCTAACATTTTGAAATTCTTGTTTGTAGTCCATATCATGTGTTTGTTCACTAATCACTCAATATATATATATATAGATGTAAGCTGTTGATCCATTGGACAAGTTTAACTGAAGAAAAAGTGTGGACCGGTGAATTTTTAATGAATCTGACGGATTTAAGCATTGCATATTCTGGGACTCCATGGTGAGAAAAGTGTGGTAAATATATGAGATAAATGATTGAATGAACAGATTTCTAAATAAAATCTCTCATTCAAGGATGGTTTCACGAAATCAGCCAAGCCATGTTTCTTTAAAAAGTACCAGTTCAATGCTGGATCCAATTGATTTGAAAAGGGAACCTCTCTATTTAGAACGAAGGTATGAATGTCTTTGATTAATAAAAGTATTTTATTTTTTGTTGTTGTTTTTTTTATCTTACCAACCTAATTTTTTTTATCTGTGTGAGAGTCCAGTTGTCAATATATTTCTACAGGTATCACAAGAACAATATTCCGGTCTCTACAGTACAGTCCAATTCAGCCATGGAGTGTCAACAAGACTATAAATCAAGACTTAAAGTAAAATTCCAATGCATTCACAATGACATGTCCAAACAATCAGATCCCACATTCCTGAATGACATCTTCACAGAGCTTTACATCACTGAAGGGGAAAGTGACAATGTCAACAAAGAACATGAAGTGAGAAAGATTGAGATGGCGTTGAGGAGAAAAACCACAGTAGACATTCCAGTCAAATGCAATGACATTTTTAAACACTCACCTGAAAAAAACAGTCAAGTCAGACCCATCAAATGTGTGCTGACTAAGGGAGTTGCAGGCGTAGGGAAAACGGTCTCGGTGCAGAAATTCATACTGGACTGGGCCGAGAGCAACGCTAATCAGGATATCGAGTTTGTGTACCCCCTTCCGTTTCGAGAGCTGAACCTGATGAAAGCTAAACAGTTTAGCTTGATTGAGCTTCTCCAGCACTTCAAAATGGAAACAGGCTTTGGAGATGATCAGCAAAAGCAAAAAGTTCTCTTTATCTTTGACGGTCTAGATGAATGCCGCTTTCCTTTGGATTTCCAGAACAACGCAAAGTTGAATAACCCAACTCTGCCAGCCTCTATTGACGTTTTGTTAACCAATCTCATCAATAACACACTGCTTCCTGATGCCCTCATCTGGATAACATCTCGACCAGCAGCAGCCAGTCAAATCCCTCTTGGGTATATCGACCTGGTGACTGAAGTTCGAGGGTTTACTGACCCGCAAAAAGAAGAATACCTCAACAAGAAAATCAATGATGAACACCTCTCTGGCCGTATAATTGCGCACTTAAAGTCGTCAAGAAGTCTGTACATCATGTGTCATATACCAGTCTTCTGTTGGCTCTCCGTTACGGTGCTAGAGAGATTGTTCAATGAAGCGGAAGATGGAGAAATTCCCAAAACTCTCACTCAAATGTACACACACTTTCTTCTCATGCAAACCAAAGCGAAAAACGTGAGATACGGTAAAGGCTACAACCCAGGCCTGGAGGATGAAGACATGATTTTAAAGCTGGGTAAACTAGCCTATCAACAGCTAAAAAGGGGCAATCTGATATTCTATGAGGAAGACCTGATGGCTTGTGGGATTGATCTGAAGGAAGCCGTAGTGTACTCCGGAGTTTGCTCACAGATCTTCAGAGAGGAGTCTGCAATAACTGAGAACAAAGTGTACTGTTTCATCCATCTGAGCATTCAGGAGTTTTTGGCAGCCATGTATGTGTATGTCATGTTTAAGCTCCACCACAACAACATTCTTGATCATGAAGTGCATCAAGAGGCCACCTTGTTTGAGTTGCATAAGTGTGCCATTGACAAGGCCCTACAGAGCGAGAATGGACACTTGGATCTAATCCTTCGCTTCCTTCTGGGCCTTTCATTGGAGTCCAATCTGACCCTTTTACAAGGCGTGCTCTCTCAATCTGTTAGCAGAGCCTGTCAGAGCATTGAGGAAACAGTTGAATATATCAAGAGGATGATCGAGGAGACATCCTTGCCAGAAAAGTCCATAAATCTGTTCTACTGTCTCAATGAACTGAATGAACTCTCTCTGGTCAAGGAGGTCCAGCGCTTCCTGAACTCTGGGCATTTTTCTAAACTCTCCCCTGCACAGTGGTCTGCCTTGGTTTTTGTGTTATTGACATCAGAAGAGAAGCTGGATGTGTTTGACTTGAAGAAGTACGTCAGATCTGATGAAGGCCTTACCAGATTGTTGCCAGTTGTCAAAGCGTCAGAATCAGCTCTGTGAGTTCTTGTTTTGACTTTTCAGATTTAAAATGTAAAATCATATTTTTTTGTATTAATTATACCTACATTATATTCCAGACTGGGTAATTGTGGACTTACTATGAGATGCTGTAGAGCTCTTGGCTCCACTGTTGGGTCCAGCTCTTCAAATGTACGAGTGCTAGATCTGTGCAATAACTCCATTGGAGACAAAGGACTGGAGCTTCTGACAGCCGGACTGGAAAACACACTGTGCAATTTACAGGAACTGAGGTAAAGCTCTTGGCCATGTGTGTGTGTGTGTGTGTATGTGAGAGAGTGTGTGTAAAGATATATTGAGTATACATACCACCATTCAAAAGTTTTAAAATGTTTTTGAAAAAAAAAAATACAGTAAAAATGGTTTTAATATGTTTAAAATGGGTTGTATTTTTGTGATGGCTGAATTTTCAGCCCCTTTCTCCAGTCTAGTGTCACATGGTCCTTCAGAAATTATTCTAATATGCCTTAATAACAAAAATCAGGATTCTTTGATGAATAGAAAGTTCAAAATAACAGATTCTATTCCCACCACTAATGCACAGTACAGCCTGGAACATGCAAACACAAACAAGCAGAAATGTATTGTTAAATATGCTGTTTATTAAATATTTTGGATGATATAATAATGTTTTAAGCTGCCAGGAAGAGTTTACTCTCAGCTCCGGTTTACTAACAGAATAAATCTATTCTGAATGAATTCCAGTTTCTGAAATCTGTGTCAATCAGAATAATTTTGTAAAGTCCTCAAAACAATAATTTCATATTGTGTGGATTCATATTTAGTCCCACTTGCTCTTGAAAGATTCATGATGTGATGTGTTACTGTTTCCTCAGGCTCTCATACTGCAGAATCACCACACGCGGCTGTTCGGTTCTGGAATCAGGACTGCTCCCAAATCTCCCAAACCTTAGGGTGCTGGACCTGAGTGAAAACAGTCTGAGAGAAGCAGGAATTAAGATCTTGGCCAATTACCTGAGGAATCAGCACTGTAAACTTGAGAAACTGAGGTAAACATCCCTCCTCTCCCCACTTCAGTTCATTAAAAGGCATCAATACCAAATGTAGAATTTGTTTGGTCCTTATGATCATTGCATTATTCATAGGCTCAAGGATTGCAGAGTTACACCTAAAGGCATCTTTGCGATAGCCTCTGCTCTACAGTCCAACCCATCTCACTTAAGAGAGCTCGACCTGCACTGGAACAACCCAGGAGATGATGGAGTGGAGAAGCTTTCAGCTGTAATACAACATCCTCTTGCCCGGCTTGAAACACTTTGGTATGAAATGTTTTGTCATATACATATATACTGTTCAAAATTTGAGGTCGGTAAGATAAAATTATTAATTTATATTCTTTTTTTATTAAGCATGGATGCATTAAGTTGATTAAAAATGTAAAAAAAAAGCAGTAAATCAGCATATTAGAATGATTTCTCGAGGGTCATGTGACTGAAGAAGACTGGAGTAATAATGCTGAAAATTCAGCTTTGCATCACAGGGATAAATTACATATTAAAATAGAAAACATTTCATTAAATTAACATAGTATTTAACAATATTACTGTCTTTATTGTATTTTTGATCAAATAAATGGAGCCTTAGTGAGAATAAGAGACTTCATTTAAAAATATTATAATTCCCGACCCAAAATGTTTGAGTGGTGTAAACATAAATCTCTAATTAAAATGTCTATTTTTCCCACCCCATAGGTTAAGTTACGGTTTGCTCACTGTGAAATCCTGTCAGTCTTTGGCTTCAGCTCTGAGGTCCAGCTTCTCAACCCTTAAAGCTTTAGACCTGAGCGGCAACGCAATATATGATGAAGCAGTTCAAATGCTCTCAAGTGGACTTGGAAGCCCTCATTGTAAAATAGAGATTTTGAGGTAAGGGTTTCAAATCTCCATTTAAATCCAACACACAGCAAACACTTGAAGCAATTCTTGTCTTTTCAGGTTGGCATTGTGTGAGATCACAGAGGTGGGTGTTGCTGATTTGGCCTCAGCCCTCGTTTCTAACCCGGGTCCTCTGAGAGAGCTGGACTTGAGACAGAACCAAATAAAGGATTTAGGTGTATCAAGACTTGCTGAAGTAGTGAAGAACTCCAACTGTAGGCTGGAGACGTTATGGTGAGCAAAACCCAGCATTGAGACTTTCAATATAGTGCTTTCAAGGTAGCTGTGCATAGAATTTCAGTCTTGGGGTACGCATTACAAGTAACATGCATTATGCATGCATTTTGAGACAAAACAATGACACTGACATTTTTTTTGGATATCAGTGCAAGTAGCTTTCAATTAAAACAGCTCAATAATGCATTTTAGTCTGAGACTAGGCTTAAACCTTGCTATGAAACTGAGGGTAGATGTACACTGTAAAAAATATTGTTGGTTTAACTGAAAATTTTAATTCATTGAAATGGAAAAATTTAGTTTATACAAGGAGATTGATTTAATCATCAGAAACTAAAAATATTATGTTATCTGAACCACATTAATTATTTAAGTTGATTTGACAAAAGAAAAAATGTTGTATTTACAAATCATGAACAATTTTTTTACAGTGTATTTTTAAAACAAAATCAAGGAGTATGTTAAATGCAAAAAATAACTTCTCAATAAAAAACACCTGCAAGGCCTGGAAGAGAACAACAAAAACATATAGCACAAACCTTTCCATAAAAGTAACATAATTAGTTACTTTTTTTAAAGGGAGTAACATAATATAACTGATTACTTTTAAAAGTAACTTTCCCCAACACTGGTCTTAGGTGTGCTTTTTTGATTATGATGTCAGTTGCAGTTGGACTTCTTTGTTTAGATGCTGAATTGTCACTGTTGAATTGTAAATAAACATCTTTCATAACAGTTTAGGAGACAATGGGATCACAAAGGAAGGTTGTGCTGTCCTCGCTGCTGCTCTAAACTCAAACCCCGCTCATCTGATGGAGCTGGACCTGAGCAATAATGAGCTCACAGACGCAGGGATGAAGCTCCTTTCTCCTGTCCTGAGGAATCACAGCGGCAACATTGTGAAATTAGAGTATGTTGTCTACAAATACTCTCAATAACATTCTAATATAGCAGAGAATAATTATGTGTAATTATTAAAGATTTTTTTTAAGAACTGGTTTTATTTAACTAGGATGCATTGAATTAATCAAAAGTGGCAACATTTTTTTAAATAGATAAAGAAATTTAAATAAATCAAATATAAATAAAACAATCCTGAAAAAATATGGTTTCAAGACTGATAATAATAATAATCATGTGACACTGAAGACTGGAAATTTACTATTATTATTTTAAAATATATTTAAACAGAAAACAATCAATTGTAATAAAAAAAAACGTACCGACCCACAACTTCTAAACAGTGAGATATGATTTTTTTTATGATAAAAAACATCTCTCTAACATTGTTTTCCATAGTTTGAGCCAGTGTGGTTTAACTGTGGACTGCTGTGATTCACTGGCTGCAACTCTTGTGGAAAAATCCTCGAGGCTTAGAGAACTGAATTTGGGAGTAAATAATCTACAAGATCTGGGAATTACAATCCTTTGTACTGGATTGGAAAATCCACATTGTCAGTTGGACACTTTGAGGTAACTCTACATTCAAAATGTTTCGTTCATGGAAGTTAATTGTGATTTTTATCTAAAATGCAAGAAGATTGTATTTTACAATTTTCTTTGATTAATGATGCATGTTCTCTATAGGTTATCCAACTGTGGGATCACAGGAGAAGGTTGTACTATTTTAGCCTCTACACTGAGATCTAAGCACTCACTTTTAAGAGAGCTGGACCTGAGTGAAAACAACCTCACAGATTCGGCCGTAAGGCCACTATCTGTTCTCCTGGACGATCCAGACAGTAAACTAGAGAAACTCATGTAAGTAGTTGATTTTTTTTTTTGATTTTATGAACACCGAACACCAACAGCTAGTGTGTCATACAAAATACTCAAACTTTTTTGCTGAGCTTTACTTGTGTGATGTTGAATGTAATAAACTTTTTTTTCTTTCCAGCTTGTATTAACTTCAGACCTGTGTGTATCACGGAACAGATCAATATTTGATGAAAGTAGCCGAATACTGCCATACCTCACCGCCGATTACTGCACTTCTTATTATTAGTCACTATGACATTTTCAGATAAATCCGTTATTTATATTGTTCATATATACATACTACACTATTATATGCTGGTACGAAATACTGAACAGAAATTGGCATTGTTACATAAAATGTTGTCTACACACTTTATTGATATTTATGAATTAGCAGTTTCAGAAACTAAAGAAGTTAAAACTTTTATAAATGTTACAAGTTGACTGATGCACTGCTGTCTAACATGGTCAATATTTATATTTATTTTCACAAGTCACTCTCAGAACTCCTTGGTTTATGGTCATTAACACACACACTATTTAAACTGTACAGTTGTTAAACCTGTGTCATTATATAGACCATAGTGTGTCATTTGACTGAATATTTAACATTCTTTTTAAAATGTGTTATTCTTTATCCTGTAAAACTTTACGATTGTATCAATAAACCGTATAACAAATAAATGAAAGACTGCCTGTTATTTGGTGTGCGCATCTGTATTCAGTCCCCAACACTTCAATTTAAATCAAGTCATCACAAAGAACAGCACAGACCTTTTCCTTCCAAACCTTTATTTTACACAAAACAGCATCAAACATGTATTTAATGTGTTTTTCAATTCTTTCCATATTAGATGAGACTTGGGACAGATACTTTCCCCCTCATAACACACCAAAATGGAAATATTTACAAGAAATCAGGTGGACAGAAAATACAGACAAACTTGACAGCAGAAATAAAAAAATTCTGATCCCTAAGAGGGGGGAAAGATATGTTTTCATTAACATATAAAATGTACAACATGAACTCAACATCTACAGTTTTCCATCCATACTGAGTTGTGATGTGGCTGAGATCTCATACATCAGGTGGAAGCTGATGCTTTGTGTGGAAGATTGTGCTCAAACTGAACGAAACCTTTTGTTGCTTGTAGAAGCACATTTTCAGTTCCTCAACCTTGCATAGAGCTTTAAGCTCTGACAGTGGTGCGAGTTGCTCTCCTGAGCCAATCTTAAAAATGTTGAGGTCAAACTCAGACAGGAAAAGCCTTTGAAACTCGAGCTTTACCAGTAGAAGGTTTTAGTGAGGAAACTGGCTGCTGTGTTTAGCCAGCTGCCACCGGCATCTTGTTTAGCACCAGTGCGAGACACTGCGCGGTCGAGCTCTTTCTCTGGACTCTCGTCCTCGGGCAGGTAATCTGGCAGGTGGGAATTTTCTTCCACCTTAGAGTCAGAGGTGCTGAGTGGAATGAGAACCTGTAACCATAGTACAGCCATGTAAATAACATAATAATAATAATATTTTTTATTTAGATAATCATATATATATATATAGATAGTGACTAGTTTAAATCACTGTATTACACTGTTTTCAGAAAGGGTGTTTATGAATTTATAGCAGTTATATTACAGCAGTATAAAATATTTATTTATCTATTTATTAGCAATTATTGTAAATGAGCAAGTCGACCCAATAAATCTAACAAACAAAATTTTAACTTTTGAAAATAAAAAATGTAAATACAATTGATATTTTTAAATTAAATTTTAATGTAAATAAACAGTAAAATTGTATTTATTAGGGTTGTCAAACGATTAATCGCATCCAAAATAAAAGTTTGTGTTTACATAATATATGTGGGTGCACTGTGTATAATTATTATATATATATATATATATATATATATATATATATATATATATATAAAAAAACCCATGCTTGTATATATTTAAGACATTTTCATGTATATAGATTTATATATAATTGATATTTTTCTTAAATATACATGCATATGTTTTTATATATATACACAAAATAATTATACACAGTGCGCCCACATATATTATGTAAACACAAACTTTTATTTTAGATGCGATTAATCGTTTGACAGCCCTATTATTTATTTTAATTATGTATATCTAATTTAATGATGACAATGTCAAGGGATGTAAACATGTAAATTATAAAGTAACATTTACATTAATAATACACAAATTATTATTTAACATTTATAATTTATTATGATTTATTATTATTTTTATACATTTTAATGTAATAATTAGGATTTATAATTAATTATCTTTTATTTTATTACATTTTAAGAATGTACACGTAAAATTGTGACCCGACCAGTTTAGCATCAGGATATTGTTGAGCCATGGGTTATCATTCTCAATGTAAAACATGTTTAAGTACATACTTAAAAGCAACAGCAACACCCACCTCTTCTCCATTTTCATTTTTCACCACCTGTTTAACTGAAAGCCCTTTTGTGGCAGCAATAGCAGTGGCCAAACTCTGAACAAAACATTTGCTTATTAGTTTTTCACACACATAATGAGAACAAATTTGCTTTTATTAGTTGAATCTCTCCTCATATGTACCTCGGTGGGCAGGTCAGCACGGATGCGTACAGTACATCTCTTCAGTGCCATCTGGAATGTGAAGCTGATTACACCTTTGACCCTCAAAAGGGCTTCTTCACAGACACCTCTCTGATCCTGTCAACACAATACCACATGTGATTTCACCCAGTAATGTGCATAAATAAGAGAGAAATGGTTTACAATCCAGGTACAATTAACAAAGAGCATGTGTGACAGCTAGATATAGTACGTACTGCCCCATCCAAGCCTTGTATGTGCAGGGTCACTGATTTTGCTTTCTTGTTTGAGCTGTTGATGAAGAACTGTGGTTTGTTGTTCCTCTTCTGTTGCTCTGGAGTCTGACAAGCCCGTCTCTGTGTTTGAGCACTCAACACTCCATACACCTCTTTTGCAAGGTCTGTAATATCCATCGTCATGTCAGTCCTTCAAACGGGGAAAAAGATATAAAACATCATTAAAACTAGATTTTAAGAATAAGGAGAATGGATGGATTGTGCACAGTAATACAATGAGACATTATAATAGTCAAATTTGATTTTATGGTAGTTTCAAGATATTCAAAATAGATCTTAGATCACTTAACCTACCAGTAAATAAAATAAAATAACAAAATCACCTCTCCATCAGTGTCTCCAGGCTCACCATCATGCCAAGCTCATTTTTCATGGTGTTGATGTTATGGGGCGCTTCAGCCAGGTACCGCAAAGTCTGAGAAGACATAGAAAGAGATTAGTACTTTAAGAGAGGCGGCCATAATACACCCACTTGATTTTAGTTTTTGGGCTTTTGCTAGTTTTTTTGTTTTTCTACTAGAATAGAGTTTTTATGCTAAATGTGTATATATATATATATATATATATATAGTGCTGTTGCAACTCCTCTTGTCCCAGTCTAGCACCACCTTTCAAAAAGAACAATTTGCTCTGATTGGTCTGCTGGACCAGTGTGTTATGATTGGTTGTCACACCCCTTACCATAACTGCAAGTTTCAACATACTACTAATGCCAATCAACCAGGCCTCATAGACCTTTTGCTGTGTAATGTGAATTGTTTAAATTAGGGATATTGTGACGTGTACTTTCCTGGAAGAAAACTCAAGACTACAATCAAGGGGTTTCAGAAACCACAAAGATTAGTGTACCTGAAGGGTGGCAAAAAGCACTTTGGAGTCTTTATGGTCTAGAAACAGCACTAATCCAGGGAGGCATCCCTGGTCCTGAACAATCGCCTCCCGATTCTGTGGTTCTGATGCCAAGTCCCGTAGCTGTGTGACTACTGATAATGCGTCCATCATTTTTGTGGATGCCTGAAATAACAAGCGATATGAAGACAAATCATTTAAATATCTGATAACATAGATCGCCTTTTAAAAGTTGATCTTATACTTTCATTCATTCACAACAGATCTTTGTTTTCTCATTGATTTTTATGCATTGTGATCATAACTTTTAATTTAAATAGAACATTAATAATAGACCCTTTAAATAGTATATGTACTATATATGGTGGCTTCGGGCACATTAAACCATATTTTTGTGTTTTATTCTATAGAGCTTTGACACATCTTTCAGAAAGGGCAACAGCTTGGGTCACGTGACCATTGACACAATTGTATTTTCTGCATTTTTAACCATGTGTAAAATAAATATTTTAAATCCCTCTCAAAAGTAATTTTTGTCACAAGTGGAATTAAAATAGTTAAAAGAAAACATGTAATTACAACACAAAAGCTGAAGACACTAAGAATCGCGAGACAATCAGTTTCTTATACAGTAACGTTAACGTTAGTTAGCATGGTAGCTAACGTTACATAGCTGGAATTCAGATTCAGGTTTTGCGGAACTTTACATCTCTGTAATTGAAAGAAAATATATTTGTATTCATTTTAACCTTATTATATGTCATACTTTGTGTGATATGTTTATTATGAAACTATAAAATTAAAGTGTACTCACCACTGCCGTTACTTTTAACAGCCCTCAAAAAACAAAACTTCCCACTGCTTCTGTTCAAACAAAACGATTGGCCGAAAGAGCTGACGACGTTTCTAAATCGTTCAAGCTGATTGGCTAAAGGCTCACACCCGCCTCTCCCGACCAATCACAAACGCTCTCAAGCAAAGAGCTTTATTTGAGTTTACCTGCACGGAAAGCGTGATAGGAAGAGGTAAAGTGAATAATACGCGTATCTTTGCAAATATAAACGTCATTTTCTAAATAATACTATGCTAACGTGTATTAATTAGATCGACGCGCAGATTAACGTATAGGTTTGACATACGCGTATGTTCTTACGCACTCAGTGGTAGGATATTGGCTGATGCTGATAAGTAATTAGTGCTGTGTAACAGTTAATTACGCTTCTTTAGCATTTTATGCCGTATTTCCACCTTATTTCTACTAACGTCGAACGTTTTAACTGCGTTTTGATGGAATTGAATGGAATGCAGCTGATTTGATCCCTCAGGTCACGTGGAAGAAGGTTGCTGCAGTGTGTGTGTTGGTTCCGTTGGTCAGCAGAAATCCAGCGTGGAAAACATCAGGATACTGTCAATGTCTCTGCTGGAAGACATCGTTGATCTGCTGAGATGTGTCCTGGAATATTTTGGAGTGCCCCCTGAAATGGTAAATATGATCATTCGTTTAGTGTGACCACTATTTGCAGAAACAACTCAATAAACGTGATGTTACATGCTCAGTAGATGTAAATTGTACATGCAGCTTTTTAACAGTACATCTTGGACACTGTTGTTGTAGTTGGTTCCAGTATGGGACAGTACACATTGTGGACAGTACCGCAGCATAGTCCGCATGATTGGGACAAACCTTCCTCTCTGTCCTCAACCACGACTGCGGTTCCAGGTACTGTTTTTGAGAAAATGTGTGTTCTGTTATGTGTTATTAAAGATCCGATCAGAAATCTTTTTTTTTTCTTCTAATTTTGAGAACGTTTCGAAAAAGTTAATTAAACAATCTACACTCACATCAGTGTTATTTTAGTATTATTTAAACTGTTTTTATTAATATTTTGTGTTAGTTTTTATAGTTTTAGTTTTCATTCTTGTTTTAGAGTGTTATGTGCTTTTGTTATTTAATTTTTTAAAATCTTTTATTTATATATATATTTTAATTATAATTCGTAATAGTTTTTAATCAACATCAACTCGCACAAGATAAAAACTAATTCATCTAACAGGAAAAAAGCAGCTTTTTGACATTTGTTGAAAGCACAAAAACAATAAAAATGTGTATACATCAAGTACACCTTTAATTGTGTTTTTATAGGTTTTTTTTTTAATCCCAAAGGGGGTATTTATCTGTTAATAAAATCAAATAAACTGTTTTTGCATATCGGAGATAATATATAACAAAGTATATCTTATAACTGGGTCATTTTGTAACACAAGCAAAGGTACAGGCCAGGATATTAGATGCATGTGTTCACTGGTATAAATTGTTAATGGCCTCTTCGCATGTTAAAGGCTTTGAAGGACTTAAGTGCAGCTTCACTAATGTTCTGATTGTATGTTTCTAGATTCCTCTGCAGACATTCAATAGACAAGGGTATATTGATGTGTCAGTGGAAACACCAGCCATTCCTACGTTAGCGGATGTGCTTTGGCTGGTGGAGGATGAAGGAGACAGCCACACTAAATTCAGGTAGTCACTCATCAGCAGCTGTATAAACGCAATGTTGTTTATTAATAGAATGTACGAGTGCTAAATTTAGTCCTGAACATAAGTTTAGCCTGTTATGAGATTTCTTGATGGATTCTGGTCTTCACAAGAGTGTGTATTGTTTGTCATCATGCCTTTTCATTTTTACAGAACTGCCGTCCCGCTGAGGAAACGCTGTGTACAACAAGGTTTTGAGATTCCGTCATTGGGGTGTGAGCGTTCGCTGTCCGTGTCTGTTCCGGCTCAGAGGAGAGGCAGAGTGCTGGAGCAGGACACCCAGCCGGAAGCCCTGCAGAAGATCTCAGCTCTGGAAGAGGAATTGGAGAAACTACGAGCACAGATCGCCATGATAGTCACAGTTCCTGCAGGTACCGTATGCTGTATGCTAATGCTGTGACTGAAAGATTCTGTAAATGCAAAAATCCTCATAAAATACCAGGAAATGTTTTGGCCACAAACCCAAATTGACTGAGATAAGATTGTAATTTTTATTTCTGTTTATAGTGCTTAAGGTGTTCCATTGTTGGTTTATGTGCTTTTTAGCATTTTAATTTAGCATGAAGGTTGCTCTGAAATCTATTCATAATAATTATTTTTTTTATTTTATTCTTGTTTTATAAATATAGTAATTGTTTAAAAAATTATTTTTGTATTAATTTGATTATTACAAAAATGTATTAATTTACATACTTGAAGACTGTAAGTCTACTGGTGTCGCTCTTGCAATTCTAGTCAAGTCACCTTTATTTATATAGCGCTTTTTACAATACAGATTGTATCAAAGCAGCTTCACAGTGATACAGTGAAAATAACACAACACAGATCAATAATATGATTAATATTTTAAAAACAAGTAACAACAAAATCATTTCATGCTGATCTTGATTATGTGAATCCGTGACTGGGACAATGTCATTCAGGCATTACAAAAAAAAAATATTGAAGGATAGAGCAGTTAAAACTACATTTAACCCCTTAGAAATCTTGCATCCCATGGTAGCATAGCTCCATTGCTCATTTCACATATGAATGGGGCGTTTCTTAAAGGGACAGTTTATGGACTGTTTATGGAGCAAATAATCGCTTGAAAAAATAGCATAAAATACTAAAAATGTATGATGTGTATATATAACCCCTTCAATGCTTCACTTTGATACCTTGTAATTAAAAAAAATGCTTCTAGTAATAGTTATTTTATAGTCAGATTGAATGGGGAAAATGTTTTCCTTCTTTTTTAGTCCTAAGCTAATTGCATGCCTGAATGAATAGTGGATGTCGGGGACTAAATCAAATTATTATTATTTTTTTAACTTTAATGTATCATCCTGATACCTTTTTATATTTATTGCTCATGTGTTTCCCAGGTCGTGCGGTTCCTCCAGCTGATCCTGGCACTCCATGCTCTGCTCTACCTATTCCTATCCTCGCTTCCACTCCTGTCTGTCCTCTTCCACCACCTCCACCCCCACTTCCTGCTCCGGCTCCGGCCATCTGCACGCAGGGGTCCGTGTCGGAGGTGATTCGACAAAGACAGGCAGCAAAGAGGGAAAAGCTTGCACAGTGTGATCCATCTCCAGGTACAGCGCCTGACGCCCTGCCCTCCATGTTAGAGGTGCTGCGAGACCTGAATCAGGTCAAACTGCGTTCTGTCGAGAGGTATGAATCTAGCAGCTTTAAATTTGAAGCACGTCTAAGTTTAAAGATCAGTACCTGAACGTGGGTTTGTATTTGTAGATCTCCAGGTGGAACTCCAGTAAGGCGTCGGAGGAGTAAAGGCGTAGCATGTTCATCTGACCCTGCAGCTCTCATCGCCGAAGCACTGAAAAAGAAGTTTGCACACAGAAAGAGAGACGATTCGTTTGGGAAAGAGAACCACTCAGCTGAGCCCTCTCCTTTTAGCAGTCCAGACACTCCCCGGGTAGGTGGTCTTCCTCTTTTCCTCTAACATTTATTTCAGATGAGGTGGAGGTGTGTTGTTTTGACTGTTTAAGTACTCGATAAATAAAACAGCGTATTTGGTGGTACATGGGGTGGATGAAATGAGATATTTGTCAGATGGCGTCATTATCATGTTGTACAGTTTGTCAACCTAATGCGCATGACTGTCAAGTCAAAATTAAATTTGACAAATCTTCTTTTTATATGTAATATTGTAGTGTTCATTATAAATGATTTATCTGTGCACTTCATTATTTTTTTTAGTTCATGTACCATTATAATCTTTAATCAAATACCTTACCCTTCCCTCCCCCATCGAAATTGGCCTCCATTTTGTTTGCAACGCCCAACCTCCAACGATCCAATCAATTCCCGAAGGAAGAAATCAAGCCCTGCCCTACATTTTTTCTAATTTCAGAACTCGTATATACGTCACAACAAGGAAAAAATGACAATCTTAACTTCTGCTTCATGCCGAGTTTAACAATATGGATTTAATATAATCATGTGTAAGCCAACCAATCAACCCGAAACCGTAAGGTATCTTCTAAAGTGCCATTGTACGTATTGAATACATTTACATGCACAATCTTACACCGATTTTACGTAATAACTTGACAAGATGGAAATCACTTGAATTAGGGTTAAAAAAAGAAATGCAAAAGCTGCGATTTAATTAATTAAATTTGGTGTGTGTTTCAGAGTGAAGCGCAGCACTGCATTCTTATACACGCAAGGATGTTTTCAATGGCTCAAACTGGCTCAAAAAGTCTGTTCACAGTAAATGCCGCTAGACGCTAATTCATATCTGCATCTGCTCAGAGTTTGGGTCACTTATTGTGTGCATTTGGGAAAGCAGTATGCCCCGACCATCTTCCCAAAACTGAATTGAGAAGCACTTGTAAACCGGCTGTTGTCAACAAAGGTTTAAACTTGGAAACCTGGGGCCCGTTTCAGAAAGGAGGTTAAGTGAAAACTCTGAGTATGTTAACCCTGAAATGAGGGAAACTCTGGGTTTTCCGTTTCAGAAAGGGGGGTATATCAAACCCGAGAAAGCAGAGTAAGTCAAGCCCGTTTCTGAAAGAGAGGTAAATTATACTCAGAGTCAGTTACCATGGTAACTTACTCTGTGAACCTAACCTGGTCGGGAGCAGGTTTTCTTCAGTAAACCCAGAGTTTCTTGCGGTCTCCTCCCCTTTTTTAAAGAGGAAGTGCTGTTTAAACACTAACAATAAAATGTATTTATTCTTTAAGGAATATATTGTTTGTCCATGTTTTAATTGACTAAATCTGTTTTGCAGCACTTTGCCAAAAAGTAAAAGGATTAAAACGTTTGCTAAACTTTTATTTGATTACCACCATTTTTTATAATATATTTCTATTAAATCATTAAAAAAATTGGAATAAAAAACATTTAATAGAACTCAATTGTTTTTCAAACATAATTTAATAA